ACACACACACACACACACACACACACACACACACACACACTCACACACACACACACACAATAACAAGAGTACAGTCACTTCCTGTTATTTTGTCTCCTCAAACCCCAAAATAAATCCAACATTCTCCCCTCCTGGAAACTGCACTGGCTTCCTACACTTTCCCTACTGGTCTCCCGCCCTTCACCTCTCGATTCTGCACAGCAGCAAACATGCTGCTAAGACAAGTAGTACAACGTGAACCATCTGATCTAAACCATCCGGTGACTCCACATGTCACTCAGAGAAAACTCAAAAGCCTTCTAATCCTAAAGTCTAGACATCTGACCACATTTCACATGCTCTCTGCTCCAGCCACAGTGGCCTCTCACCCTTCCTTGAACAAGGACACGTTCCTGCCCTAGTGCGTGTGCCTGGAGGTTCCCCTGCCTGGAAAGAACTCTCTGAGACGTGCTCTTCAACAACTCCTTGTGTCCTGCACATCTCTCAGAGGTCAGCCTCCCAGTGAAGCTCACACTTACCACCCTAGTAAAGTAGCCACCTTCCCTGTCCCCCCACAGGTAACTCTCTGGGTCACCTTCCTCAAAGCACCTACCAATTTCCAATTTAAACACTTCCCTTATTTACCACATTTATAACAATATACAGTTGACTCTGAATTACACTGGTTTGAACTGGGGACATCCATCGATATGTGGACTTTTTTACAAAAGTGCTGTCAATGCACTTTCTCTTATGCTTTCTTACTATTTTCTCCAGCCTATTTTATTGTAAGAGTACACGTTACATATACATGTAACGTACAAAATATGTGTTAAATGACTATTCCTCTTTTCAGTAAGGCTTCTTATGAACCGTACATTATTAGTGGTAGTATTTAACTTTCAGGGGAGTCAAAAGTTATACGTGGATTTCTGACTGCTCAATGGGGTGATTGCCCTCACTCCCCACATTGTTCCAGGGTCAAGTGGAGTCTGTGCCTCACCCCTAGGACATATTCTCCACAAGACCAGCATGCTTGCCTCTTCTTAATTACTGAGGTGCCCTAGATGAAAAAAATAGCAGATCCTGCACGTGGCACACGAGATTATCAGTGGAACGATTGGTCAGCGGAGAGGACCTCTGTCTTCTGGATGAGACTCAGGCACAGCCAGTTCGTGGCAGCTCCCGCACAAAGTACCTCCACCTCACCATCAGTGCCGCTTCTACTTTCCCTCAGGGCTGCTCCCCCCTTCCTCTCTCTGCTCAGCTCCCCCCTCCCACAGCATTTCCCCTGCACAGCACAGCATACAGTTACAGTCCTATCTTCAGAATCACTGTATGTAGGCTCCATGGGGCCCTTTCTCCAATCAAATAGAAATCTACATTAGACCCTTCTTTATACATCCATGAACTTGGATGGGAGCAAGAACCAGCATCACTAAGGTCACGGAGAGGGGGCAGAGAGACAGGGAGGTAGAAAGTAAATTAAGTTGAAAAAGGATGAGAAACTCCCAGTTTCCTCTCAACCTCCCGAATCTAAAGAATAATCCAGAAGACAGCTCGAGAGGGAGGAGATGTATCAATCTGAAAATTCACCTCTCCCAACCCCAGAGACTTCTGTGTGCAGAGGCCACCAAGGCCTGTGAGAATGAGAGTCCAAAGAACTCCTGGTGCTGCAGCCACTGGGGTCACCCGGGGAGAATGAGGCAGGAACTTGGACACAAGAGCAAGAACAGGCCTGATGCTCCATAGGAACAATGGGGGGAAAACACCCAAAGATGGGGCTGAGGTCACGACCCAGGATGGAGCCTGGGCTGACCCAGTCACAGGAAGCTCTTGCTTCACAAGGTCCTGGTGACAGATGACGTCCATGTCCCTGTAGTCATGGTCCTGGTGAGAGAAGGTTCCACAGAAGGGACAAGGACAAGGAGCAGAGACATGACCCAGCTGAGGAGGGAGCTTGACACACCAAGGATGCACTGAGCACCGACTGGACCCAGGCCCCGTCCCCGCTCGGCTCCTCCAGCCCTCTCCTGTCCCCACCTGCAACAGACACAGCACAAGAAATATGCGAGTTCTGGGAGGTTCTCAGGGCTTTCATTTATTTTCTCTTGCAATTTTACAAATTTTCTCATTTATTACCTCATCGTCCCCACGTACCCAGAATTACAAAACACAAATTCATATCTGGATTCTCATTTTCAGTAGAGGAAGTAAGGTGTCAGTATTCAGGCCAACATGAAGTAAAGACAGGAATGGAGACAGAACACGAATCAGTATGGGAAGGGTCATGGTGGGCATGGGGGCCACTCTCCTGCGTCCTCACAATATGCTAATAGGAACACAGACACATCTGACACCATCTGAAGAAAGTCAGGGGACCTCGATGTCACCAAGTGGGAGTGTGAACAGATCCTGCATCGCTCAGTCCACCACAGGCAGTGGGTCTCAAACTATGACAAAAAGTCATCATGAACACATTTAGGTCAGTCACATAAGTGCCACAAACTCAACAGCCCCCATGCATGCTCAAAGTGTCCCTAGTGCCACCACTCCTCCCCACTTCACCCTCCAGAGTCTTACCTTTAGGAGCGATTACAGACGAATCAGAGCCCTGAGTACTGTCATCGCCTGGGGTAGAACAAACAGGACATGATCAGAGCCATAGGAGTTGAGACTAAAGGAGCAGCCAAGGGGGAAGGGGGGTGACCCATGGGGTCCTGTCTACACCATTCCAGGTTTCAGGGATCACCCCCTCCATACTTACGTGCAGCGTGAGAGTAGCTCGGTCCCTTTCCTCCTGTGGAAGAAAATAGCATGTTAGAGACTTGGGACAGGTGGGCCATGGGATCCTAGAGCAACCGCCTAGTCCTGGTCCACAATGAAGTTCCCAGAGTTCTGACTGAACATCCAGGACAGGATTGGGACACATGAAGAAAGAGGTGTGGGGTCACAGGACCACCTGACTTGCTGGAGGTCTGACCTCAGCAGGGACCTTCCTCTCTGTCCTGTCACTGCTGGGAATCAGGTCCCCGTCACCAGAATTACCAAGTGAAAATCTGTTCTTCATTTTCACAAGTGCTTTGCTACAAAGTGAATGTTAGTAATGGCTCCAGAGTGGGCAGGTCCATGTGTGTGGATAGAACTGCCCAGGAACCAGGCAGGACAATGTGCTACCTAGGAGACCCCCCAGCAGGACAAGTGAACTCAGATCCCCCCACTCTATTCCTACCTGAGCATTTCTTCCTCCAGATCACAGCTCCAACCACCACAATGACCACAAGGACAGCCACACCAACGATGCCCAGAATGGTGGTGAGGGGCAGAGACGATGGCTCTGGAAAGGGATGGAAGGTGAGGGGCCCAGACCTCCAGCTTCAGTCCTGACTCTGAAATTTCCAGAAGGGCCCTGCTTTCCCTGACACGGGGCTCTACCCCAAACCCTCCTTACCCCATCTCAGGGTGATGGGCTCGGGCAGCCCCTCGTGCTGCACATGGCACGTGTATCTCTGCTCCTCTCCAGAAGGCACCACCACAGCCGCCCACTTCTGGAAGGTTCCATCTCCCGCAGGCCTGGTCTCCACAAGCTCTGCGTCCTGGGTGTGGTCCGCCCCATCACGCTGCCAGGTCAGGGTGATCTCCGCAGGGTAGAAGCCCAG